ATGAGTAATTGTGAGACCTAAGTGTTATTATGAGTATGGTTAGTTCATAATACTTGCTGAAAACTTGAATGCTGGCTTTACATGTTTACAACAACAAGAGCAAACAGAGTTTGTAAAAGTTTTTCTTTATCACTTTCAGTTTATCAACTGAATTGCTTGAGGACAAGCAAAGGTTTAAGCTTGGGGGAGTTGATACGTCTCCAATGTATCTACTTTTTCAAATACTTTTGCCCTTGTTTTGGACTTTAACTTGCATGATTTGAATGAAACTAACCCGGACTGATGTTGTTTATTGTCCAGAAAACAAAAGTTCTCAAAATGACCTGAAAATCCACGGAGATGAGTTTTGGAAAATATAAAAAATACTGGCGAAAGAATCAGGACCAGGGGCCCACACCCTGTCTGAGGGTGGGGGCGTGCCCTCCCCCCTGGGCGCGCCCCCTGTCTCGTAGGCCCCCTGAGGCTCCACCGGCCTCAACTCCAACTTCATATATTCCATTTCACGAAGAAAAAACTTAGAGAGAAAGTTTCATCGCGTTTTACGTTACGGAGCCGCCGCCAAGCCCTAATCTCTCTCGAGAGGGCTGATCTAGAGTCTGTTCGGGGCTCCGGAGAGGGGGATTCATCGCTGTCGTCATCATCAACCATCCTACATCACCAATTTCATGATGCTCACCGCAGTGCGTGAGTAATTTCATCGTAGGCTTGCTGGACGGTGATGTGTTGGATGAGATTTACCATGTAATCAAGTTAGTTTTGTTAGGGTTTGATCCCTAGTATCCACTATGTTCTGAGATTGATATTGCTATGACTTTGCTATGCTTAATGCTTTTCACTAGGGCCCGAGTGCCATGATTTCAGATCTGAACCTATTATGTTTTCATGAATATATGTGTGTTGTTGATCCTATCTTGCAAGTAGTCATCTATTATGTGTTATGATCCGACAACCCTGAAGTGACAATAATCGGGATACTTCTCGGTGATGACCGTAGTTTGAGGAGTTCATGTATTCACTATGTGTTAATGCTTTGATCCGGTTCTCTATTAAAAGAAGGCCTTAATATCCCTTAGTTTCCACTAGGACCCCGCTGCCACGGGAGGGTAGGACAAAATATGTCATGCAAGTTCTTTTTCATAAGCACACATGACTATATTCGAAATACATGCCTACATTACATTGATGAATTGGAGCTAGTTCTGTATCACCCTATGTTATAGCCATTACACGAGGAATCGCATCCAACATAAGTGATCCAATGCCTACGAGCTTTTCACATCTTGTGTTTCGCTTATTTACTTTTCCGTTGTTACTGTTACAACTACTACAAAACTGCTGTCTTTACTTTTTCACTGTTACCATTACTATCATACTACTTTGCTATTAAATACTTTGCTGCAGATACTAAGTTATCCAGGTGTGGTTGAATTGACAACTCAGCTGCTAATACTTAAGAATATTTTTTGGCTCTCCTTGTGTTGAATAAATAAATTTGGGTTGAATACTCTACCCTCGAAAGCTGTTGCGATCCCCTACACTTGGGTTATCACTGTTCCTGGCCAACTTGCCGGAGAGATATCCAAAGATCGAAAATGAAAAACACACCGGTGTTGTTCACGTCGGCGTCGGACAGGTTGCGGAGCAAGTCCAGGCCAACCATCGTCCATAGGAACCCGTAATCTTTGCCGATCGTATTGAATCGGAAGTTGGTGTCGTCCATGGAGTAGTTGCCCTTCCGGTTCTGATCGGGACCGGGGCTGTTGCACTGCTGTGCCTTCGCGTGGGACAAGAACGACATAACCGATAGGAGGAGAAGGCATGGTACAAGCTGCTTGAGCTGATCTAAAGCCATTGTACACTTTTGCTACCTACCTATCTGCCTCAGCTTACTCACTATATAAGCTTGTCTAATATACTGTACTAGTAGTTAGTGAGTGAGCATACGTCCACGTATTCCACGACCAAGATAACCAGATGGAGAGCCTGTGATATAGTAATGTCCACCTATATGAGTTTTAAAAATGGTAGTTTGCATTAATAGGGGTTCGTCCTTTCTGACGAATGAGTTTGAGAATGCTTTTGCTAAATCTAGTTTTTCTTCATGTCCCGAAGCATTGCATGTCTCCGTTTTTTTTCATCTACAGTATATTAATAAAGAAAGGAATAGAGTTTGTATAACAAGGCCGCGAGGGTCCACCCATAGAAAGCAAGGAACTACTCTCCGTATAATGGTTCCTAATTTTTTTGCACCCGATGAGACCCAAAACTTGGTCTCGTCTTTGATGGCCTTCAGCAAGATGTGCTCGGCGGCTTGCTCTTTTGCCAAAATACACGCACATTCCTCCCGTTCCAAATGGTCCAACTAATGTGCATTGTGAGGGATGCCATTGCTTTATGGTTGGGGATGTTGTTGCCCAACAAGTTGACCCACCAATCTTTGATGGAGAAAGAGGAGTTGTCAAAGCTTTCCAAGTACAACCGCTCGTAGGCAAGTTCCAAAGACAGAGGGTAAAACGACATTTGAAGAAGAGGTGCGGCCCAGACTCTTGCGGAGGGGGCAAAGGTCACAATGTGGTCATCCACGCTTGGCCAAGCGGTCGACAGTCCAAATCTTATCTTGGATGGCCAACCAAGCAAAGAATTTAATTTTGGGCAGAGACCACACCTTCCAAACCATGTGATCGATAGGAGAGTACACGGTGCCAATAAATTGCACCAAGTAAGAGGTATCCGTTGAGTATAGGCCACTCTCCATGAGCTTCGAAAGGATGTTATCTTTGGCATGCTCATCAAGATGGAAATCCTGGATGAGAGACCAAAGGGCAATGAATTGCCGTAGGTGAACCATGTATAAATTGGTGTCTTAATCTTGGAGACCAATGCACCCGCATGAAGGGCACTCTCTCACCTTGATGTTTTTCTTCTTGTATGACTCATCGATAAATGATTGTGGTGAGGGAGTAAAAGAGACCAAGGTCAGTCTTGTCACATGGGTTTCTCAAATTTTCGGCCTTGAGAATTCACTATAAGATCGCTCGGTATGTGCGGTCAGCTATCTCAAAAAACCAATGAAAACAAGAACTACATATAAGATTTTGAAATGTTCAACTGAACACGTTCAAATGTCGATTTTGGTTTTTTTAATAATGCAACATGCTGACCACATGTCTTAGGCCTTTTGGCCTTATGTTTCTGAGAAAGAATGCAAGAATCTTTCAAGAAAAATCAATGTCGTTGTTGTATCATGCATACTTGTTTGACCATTAATCAGTTCCAGCTGAACTTTTCATCGCATGCATCATGCATGTCTCTGTCCGATTGGTCAACCCACTCTGCACCATGCTCTAGTCAAGAGTCAAGAGTCAGGACTAAGAGTTTCTTTAGATATCCGGTCGATCTGCTGGCAACAAATGTCGGGCAGTTGCAGCATCGGCCAGCAAAACCTTAAACAGCAACACGACGAAATTAATGGTTCCATTACTGCTAGAGTGCTAGTAGCAACCACAACATTTTAAACTCAATAATCCTACACCTACGAAACAAGTTACGAAAGGCTACGTAAACTTCCCTTCGATAATTCTCTTCGGCCCCCTGATTTTAAGTGGGATGGGCCCCTCTTTCCCCCATCGCAATCACAATCTGTCATGTGGCTAATTACGTAGCCTTTCATTAACTTGTTCGTAAATATAGCATTGCTCATCCAACCTACCCTAAAAGAACAGATAAAAGAAACAACACCAAAAGTTGGTCATCCGTTAGCTAGTCCTTGGATCGAACTTGACATTCATCATGCATGTGATGCACGTCTCTATCCAACAGGTCAAGAGTCAACAGTCAAAACTGAAAATTCCTTTTAGATAATCATACTTCACGCGATCGTTCTGCTGGCAACAAATGTCAGGCTGCGGGAAGCACAGACAAGCAAAACTGTTAACAGCAACACGACAGAAATGATACTTCTACACCTACCAAACACGGTCCTCTAATTAAACTTCACTACTACAGATCAAGAGAGCAACTCTCCAAAATATATCACTGTTGCCCCGGTGCGCTAGCTCCAAGAAATCAGCTCTAAGAAAATTATAAAGCTACACAAAATTTCTTAGATACTGCGTGTGAATGGATTGGACATCAACATAAACTAAGCGCTTGATGTTGTTATCATTTTTGGTTGGACATCAAACTTTGACTTTCCAAGCCGCGTACAGCGAAGGCGGACTTACAGGTCGGGCCGGGGCTCCACGCTCTTTCTTTCTATGTGGAAACACAAGTTGTCAATATGAGTGTATACATCTAATTCGATTGTTCTATATTTAAGTCGATGGCCCGATGGCCCTGGCCATCTGATTTGATTTTATTTTTTAGAAAAGGATGACCCCCGGCCTCTGTATCTGGGAGATGTATGCGGCCATTTTATTGATTATTTTTTAGGACCTTACAAAGTAGAACAACAATATACCTGAATCCGACGCCTCCAAGGAGATCAGTCCATACCGACACCTCCAAGGAGGGGAACGGCGCCCTAGGTGTCGCCGATGGCGCGGCCGGCCAGGGATTTCGCCCGAACCGACGATCAAGGGAAGCGCGGCCCGACCAGGCCCGCACACCGAACATGGGAGGGGGAAGGCACCAGATCGCGCGCACCGACCGCCGCGGAAGCCGCCGCCAGCCGCCAACGACCACCGGGATTCCGCCGCCCGCGCGGCCAGGACGCCAGATCCAAAGGAGCTGCTGCTCCAGATCCGGGACTCCCCACACAGGGACAGGGCAACCGAGACCCCACGCCGCCATCCTTGGCGCCCCAGGCTTGCCCGGCGGCTGCCTTAGGCGGCAGCGAGGAGGTGGGCCGAGGTGGGGAGGGGGCCGCGGCGGCGCAGCTAGGGTTCCCCCACCGCCGCCGGGGAAGGCGACGCGGGGGTCGCGGGAAGGGTTGGGGTCACGAGAGAGGTTAGTGTCTGGTCTCGAGAGGGGTTAATTGAGTATATATATGCCTCATGACATTAACTTAGATATAACAAATACTCAAGCTTCTTAAATTAACCAAAATCACATCAACATTAAATGCAACAAGTGAATTTTCATTTTACTATGTTTTCATTGGCATTTCCTCATGGACCAGAGGCACTGCTTGCCGTGATGTAGACAGAGTGTTGGAGTTGAAATGAGGCATGTTCTCCAGTGGTGCTTGCCATACTATTGTCGAGATTACTCATCATAGATGTATCTGTGCTACCATCATCGGAGGCCACTGAACGTCCCTCTTCCCGCGGCGGCCACACAAATCTTGGCTTCTGAGGAGGCACCTGTGGTGGTAGTGCAGACTTGGTGATGACACGCACCACATCGGGCATGGTTGGTCGGTCCGATGGATTCGGGTTGCTGCAGGCCAAGCCCAGGAGGAGCAGGCGTTCCACATCACCAGTATTTTTTAGATGCTCCTCGTCCTCTGGAGTAGAACCATTGGTCAGCATGGCATCCACACACTCCAGTAGCCTCCCCTCACGGTGAAGACGCCACACCCTATCGGTGATATGCATGTCATCATCATCCACCACCTCGTGGTCAGCCAATGCCCGCAGCCCAGTGACGACCTCAAGGATAAGCACCCCAAGCGCGTAGATGTCAGTTTGCCGTGTCGCCTTGCGACAAACCGGGTACTCTGGCGCGATGTAGCCCCAAGTGCCACCCACACCGGTGACAGAGTTCCTATCGGCGGCGACAGTGCATGCCAGGCCAAAGTCGCCGAGGCGGGCCTGGAAGCTCGAGTCCAACATGATGTTGCTCGCCTTGATGTCGCGATGGAGCACCATGGGCTCATACTCGTGGTGGACATAGTGCAAGCCGGTGGCTATGCCTCTGATGATCTCGTAGCGGGTTGCCCATTGCCGGATGGCGCCATCGGTGTTTCGCTGCCTGGTGCTATTGCCGCCTCTTTGGAAGAGATGTTGGTCTAAGCTGCCATTGGTCATGAACTCAAACACAAGCAGTGGCACTCCTTTGTTGTATGACCACCCTGATATTTGTTTGTGCAGAGACATGAAAATTAGTGTTTATGTATTTCTACAGGTGCATAGCTAGAATTTAGAATGGATCTCTAAGCAATGGATCCCAGTTGCTAAGCCAGTAGAATTTGACCTCTAACCACAATTGATTATCCTCAACTCCATATAGGACCCTACAGGCAATATATGACATCCAATGCAATAATACACCCTTCAATCCAAATTACTTATCACAGCGTTAGTACAACGTTATACTAAAGTTATACTCAAGCTGGGACAAGTACTAACGCTGCGACAAGTAATTTGGATTGGGGGTAGTACATGACTTCTTCGTATAGGACCCTATATGAAATTTTCTGAAATTTTTTAGGTGATGTACAACGTGCATGTATCCACCAATACAAAAAATTAAATACAAAAAAAATCAAAACAAAGCATAATAAACAAAACAAAGACCAGTCCAACACCGAGAGTAGCAATGAGCTAAATTCACAGCCCAACTTAGATTAAATGTGCTATTTGGATGATGCTCACCGATGAGGGGGACGATGTTCTTGTGGCGCAACCGGTTGATGATGCTGACCTCGGCGAGGAAGTCGTCGTAGCGGTGGTTCTGCACATCACGCGTAAACCTCTTGATGGCCACGTCCATCGGTCGCTTCATCTTGGAAGCCGTGGCCGGGAGCGTGCACCTGTACACAGTGCCGAACCCGCCTCCACCGAGCTTCATCTCCTCGTGGAAGTTTGCGGTGGCCTTTTTTATGTCAGCAAAGTCAACCTTGGTGGGTACCCCCGGGAGGCGCTCCATGGACTTGGCGAGCTGGTCCAGGTCCCTGTGCCACCTCCGATACCTCGAGTTGAAGTAGCACGCCGCACTGGCTACCACCATGGCGGTGACGGCTACCGACCCAAGGACGGATGCCACTATGGTCACCTTCCTTGACAGGAAGCCTCCTTTGGCGGTGTAGCAAGGGAAGTTGTCGACCGTCGCGTTGAAGTGGATGCCTCTGGTACGGAGCCGCTGCGCCACTGTCGAAAGGAGGCCGAGATAGACAAACGGAGACGTCGGGGAGATGACACTGCCGATGTTGAAGGGCGCCTCGGCCATGGCTTCGCCAGGTTTGGGCTTGCCCTCCACGTCTGCGTAGACCGACAGCCGTCCTACACGGTTGTAGTCGATCCACACAGAATAGTTGGAGTCATCTAGTAGCATAGTGATATTGACGACCACTACGCGTTCGCCAACATAGCCCGTCCACACAGGGCTAACCAGCATTCCAATTTGGACGTTGACGTACATGTAGGATCCGGGGATGGAGCCGCTCCGATCTGTAAGGTTGTCAAGACCCCGAATGCTGGAGAACTCTTGCGGGTAGAAATAACCTGTGTCGACCAGCAGTTCCTTCGCCAAAGGCAAGGAGTCGTTTACCTGGAGAAACTCAAGGACCTCTCCAGGGAGGATGAGGAAGGCGAGGTGATTGGTGGCAACCCCTGTCGTCTGAATCCGCATGACGATGTTGACACTGAACGACACATCGTCGACCCCCGACCCGTCGGGGCGCCTTCGACAGAGTTCAATCGAGCGATGGACGGTGGATAGCAATGTGCTATTCGCCTTGGCATAGGATGATAGGTTGTAGTGGTGCGTTTGTGAGAACCCGGACTCATAGTCGACCATGAATACGAAATCGGCGTCGTCCATGGTGTAGTTCCTCTCCCCGTCCTGGTCTGAGTCGGGGCCTATGCATGGCATCTCCTTCGCGTGAGAGAAGGGAGCGAAGGAGATGATTGATGAGAGGAGGATGCATAGACATGGAACGAGCTGCTTGTGCCGGAAGGCCATTGCTTCGCCCACGTATTAGTCACTAAGCTTGCTTTTATAAGCTATACTGTACTTGGTGAGTCTGTGTCTGGGTGATGAACGCAGATTCCACGACTAAGGAAGAGATAAACTATTACTCCCTCCGTTCTAAAATAAATGTCTCAGTCTTATTACAACTTTGTATTAAAATTACTATAAAATTGAGATGAGATGGAGGAAGTATCTGCCTACATTAATTATAAACTACTCTATATGGTGTAGGCGAGTGTCTGCCTGTTATATAAACAGAACTAGATCATTGATGGCGCGCGTTGCCGCGCCCGTTCATGTTTATAATGAAAAGGTAGGTATTGCCCACAAGGTTTAAAGTAAGAGTACTACTATAATCATGCTTAACATAGATTGCTTCCATACCCAGTCCAAAAAACTAACTTTTAGCTCTTAACTAAGCAACAAAAAATATATAGCCTTGTTAATTGTGAACTTCTATGTTTTGTTCATACAAATTACAAGATCATTGTCAAACACATAACTATAGCAAAGTCAGCAAGAAATAATAAATACACAAAATGATGGAAATAATAGGTGGCATGACTTGCGAACTCTTATTACTTGTTAGGCATAAATCGTGAAAGCCATAAAGCTACCACCATGCATAGGAAATCGCCTCTCAAATTGTGAATTTGTAACACAAGAGTTCTCCTAAGCTTCTTATTTAGGGCAAATATTCAACTTAAGAACATGTTTGTGGGGATATATATGAACAAAGCCTGACCTGTGACGTACATATATAGCATGCATGATTGACTTGAGAATTTGTAAGAATTTTGTTGAGCTTCTTGCCACAAAAATGTTTCTTGATAATATTGTATGTTGTAGAACTGCTCAACTTGGGACCGGTATGAGAAAAATCCTTGATACAGAAGCATACATGATCCGGGTCTTCTCACTAACAGCTTTGTCTCCATTGTCCAACTTTCTAACAAGAACATCAAAAAGAACAAAAAAACTATTAAAATAATAACACAGCTCAGGAGCTCAACCCTCACATATTTCATTCTTTCCAGTTATATTATTTTTTGAAAAAAAAACTACAAAGCGCTCACTTCTTGTTTCCGAACAGGCACAGTATGACAAAAAAAAAAAGACTGTCGTCTTTTCTGTTCTAGAAAGCCAAGCCATTCTGATGCTAATTAAGTTCCACCAAACAACTTCGGGATTTAGTCTTACCTAAACTTTGGCCTGCTAAGGAGAGAGATTTAACGCAACAAATATCACTAACAGGAATTAGATGGTACAAAGTTATAAGAAAAGAAAAAAAAAGTCGCTTGGAAGAAAAAGATAAAACTATTATTTATTGAAGAATAGTGTAGCAAAAACAGAAGTCCATTGAGCACACCTCCATAGAACAAACAGATTGTCTCTCGAACTGCAGTTTGAAAGCCCCTCAAGTTGTCCCTGTGCTATGATGTAACCAGTACAATTATTGTCACACAAGGATTATTGCTACAATAGTGTAGCAAAACTACCAACATAGAAGCACAACAAAGTGGGTAATGGAATCAGAGTTAAATATGTATCCTTACTCTGTAGCGCAAACTAACAAATGCCTATATAGGGCATGTAGAGTTAGAGAAAAACCAATCTACTTGAACGGAATGGGGGATCAAACAATAAGAAACTTCAAAGCATATTAGCGCTCTCTCTCTCTCTCTCTCTCTCTCTCTCTCTCTCTCTCTCTATATATATATATATATATATATATATATATATATATGTATGTATATATGACAAATTTTATCTACAAGTAGTGGTAGTTACCACCTAAATGCTGGCCTTCCATGTGTCCTACTGTATTTAAACTAAACGGGTTCGTGAATAGCCAAGGATCCACTATTTTACAACTAACTAATTTATTTTTTTAATCAAATAGATAACGAGTGACTTGTTTCAACGACCTCCTAGTTTGTTGCAGGCGTCAAAATTTAAACACATAGAGCCAACGTACTCAGCTTTGTACTACACGTGCAGCCATGGAATAAAGAAACAGAATACCTTTTCAAGGCACTATATAGTTTTTTTTTGCATCGACGGCAATATAGAGTATATGCACTTCATTGTGAAAGGAGTATGCAGTATACCCCGCAAAAAAAGGAGTATATAGTATGTCCACATCTATGTTTCCCACATCTATGTTGTATAAGTGGGAGTAATGCGGAAGTATGTAGAATATTCCTTTCTAACCGAAGTATAGAGTTTATATATACGTCACCTTGAAAGGAGTATGGAGGATGTCTCCATCTATTCAATCGTTATAAAGTTTACAACCATGGTACATGCATGATACTATTTATACATTTATGCATATCATAGTCGAGCAAGCACCTATGTACCTGTAGGGATGTGCCCTTGTAGTTTCTTTCATCTAATGTGCCCTTGTAGCTCACTAGTCTATATTGTTTTTCTTTAAGTATGTCTTACAAAATTGTATGGAGTATCTGCAACATGTAGTATGGAGTATCTCATTCGCAAAAAAAAGTATGGAGTATGTACTGCATAGTTGTGTGGAGTATATATCATACAAAAGCAGTATGGAGTATATATCATACAGAAGCAGTATGGAGTATCTACAAAATGTGGTTTGGAGGGCATACGGAAAATAATGTACATATACATGTCACACGTGATGGTTACAAATTTGGTTACAAATTGTACTATTATACAGTTCATAGATGAATTTACGGACTCAAGAGCATGGCACAGATGTGCCAATGCCAACGAGATTTGCATGAAATTATGGCGGATATTGCCGTCGGAGCATGTCTTCACCACACATGCGTAGGTGCCGGATTGCCGCTCTCGCCGCAGCCGCTAACCATAGTCACGCATCAAGTCCATGTTGGGTCAGCCTTTGCAGATGGAATCATCGTTCTGGCCGCCTCCCTGCTGATACTCCTCTTCACTTCTTCAGCCATCCCTGATAAAAAGATCAGGCGAAGTAACAACAATTAGCATTCAACCGGAACTTCTACCTTCAATAAATACTTTCTAATTAGTTTAGATACACCCAGCCCAAGAAAACCAATCGCGTGTGCAATAAAATAAAGAAACAAGGACGAAACAAATATCAATTGGCCTCACGCATGCATGGAACCACCGATGTGATGCCGTGTACCTTCCTTTTTGCAGATCCAATTCTTCTCACGCGGATTTAGAGAGAGAGAAAGATCTAACCGTATTGCCTTATCCAGAGTCAGCGTGTATACAAGACTGAAATATATAAATGGCAAGAGAAAAGGTGGGGCGTCCCAGAAAATTCGGAAGCTCAGTCCAACAAACTGATCG